GTTGGGGTTCAAGGGCTTTCAGCAGCTGAGGGTCACTCAGCCAGAGTGAGTGTGGTGGTTCTCAGTTGGATTGAAATCTCGCTCTGCTGGAGCTGTACCGACCTGCACAAATATGAAGCTCTAGCCTGGGATCTTCTCTGTCTGTACAGTGCCTGAAAGAATGAGTCTGCAAATCTCTGCAGACACCTTCCTGGTGCCCTGATACAAATAAGAAATCTGGTTGCCAAGAATAGATCTTGTTATAGATACTAGAACAAGAAGGTCTTTACCAAAAGTAATGGAGGCTTTTCTCTATCTCTTGAAGTCCCTGTGATGGGAGATGACAGGATTGCCCTGGTATTACTTGATATTGGTGGCCTACATCCTAACTGCACAAGAGAGCATGAGGAGATTAAATGGGCTATTTGTTTTCTGGGTGAAAGTTGGGAGGATTATCCTGTGGTCCCTTAAAAAGTAATTACAGAGCGTCCTTGCAAATTTGGAGCATCTACTTTGTCACATGTTGACTTGCAGCAATATCCCAGCGAGAAGGTTAGCGGGATAAGTACGTAAACTCCTTGATAGTGTCTAACACCTGCTTAACCTGCTGGAAGTGATGAGACAAGGGAGTCTGGCTTTCTATGGGGAGCTCTATCACCCGACCTGAATAGTCCCACTGCAGGCAGAAAAGTATTCATTGAAACTGGTTCAGTGGTTATTGCTTTCCCTTCAATACTTTTTCTTGCACTACTTACAAAATAAATGTTCCTAACTAGTTTAAAGGAAGGCTTTTCTCTCCCCTTCTCGGTTTGTCTCCTCTGCTTGGGGGTATGAAAAGGAAGAAACACTTCTCTCGAAAGGAAACCTGCTGGAGTGCAGTGTGTCCAGATGTGTGGGTTTGTGGCTTTTAGGGGAGGGGGACTGCAACCTTCTCAGTAACAAGCCTGTCGTGCTTCTCAAGCTTCCTTATTTAGCCTCTGCAACCTTGACTTCCAGCCTGTGTGATTATCTACGCTCACTCCTGGCTGTTTTCCACACTTCCCCAGGAACCGGGCGAATGCTGTGGAGGGCAACGTGGAAGAGGTGGTTGGGAATCTGCGACAAGCAAACACGGTGCTCCTGGAGGCCCGGGGTGCTATCAGGGGCTCTGGCTCTTCCCTCCGGTTCATTCAGGAGCGTGTTGATGAAGTAAGTGATGTGCGGTGACTTCCCAAATAACGATACTGTGCCCTGCTCACTGCTCCTTTGAAACTTCCTCACTTGGTAGAGTCCTGCACCAGCACAGCTGGGAAATGGGATCTGGTGAAGCTTTTGCTGTACAATCTTCTTTCTGCGGTGCCTCACTTGTGTGCTTCTCCAAACTCCAGTCATGGTCCCTGCCTGAGCCCCCCGAGACAAGCCCTGGGGCTGCCGTGCTCAGCTGCGCAGGGAGCAGTCCCGGCTCCCTGCCGAAACCCTGCTTCTGTGATGTGTCTGTCAAGCAGTGTAGCTGGTCCCTGCGCAGAGGAAAAAAAAATTAGGAGTGGGGTTTGGATGTGGTTTCCTTCTTAATGTGGAGCGCTCTGCTTTTAGATCGAGGCTGTTCTTGGTCCAGCTGAGAAGAACGTGAAGTCCCTTGCGGGCCAGCTGGACGGGCTGATGGAAAGACTCTCGCAGCTGCAGCGTGGAGCGGACCAGAACCACCTGCGGGCCACCGACGCGCAGCAGATGGCTGGGGAGGCGGGCGAGCAGGCCAGGAGCGCGCAGCAGGTACCGGGCTCTGGCACGTCGCCGGCCAGGGCGGTCACAGCTGTGCTCCGCTTCCCCGCTGTCATTAGACAGCAAAGCCAGCTGTGGCCTGGCACGTTTTTGGATGAGGCGAGGAGGCTTTCCTGTTCAGGCCACGGCTTGTGCGTTATCGTGTCACTTCTTATTAATCTGATGCAGTATCCCGCTACTGAATTTTTCCCTGAGTTATCTCTGTTGTATCTCCCACCTGAGGCAGAGTACCCATACAGCTGTCAGTCAGCATCTTTCGGAGTGCATCATGAACTGTTATGCATTTGCATGATAACATCGTGGCAAAGCTCTAGTGCAATATCCATTTAATATTTAAAATGGATTCAACATTGGAAAATCCCCTTTCCCCCCGTCTACTTGCTTGCTCCTACCTGCACTGCTTATTTGCTTTTCCACAGGCTTTCGAACAAGTGAAACAAATGTACGCTGAGCTGAAGAGAAGGATGGAGCAGAGCCCGGCTCTGGGAGAGCAGGGCAGCAGGGTGCAAAGCATAGACCTGGAGGCACAGGCTCTGTTTGAGGAAACTTTGGCCATGATGCTCAGGATGGAAAGTAAGACTCTTTGTGAACTCAGTGTAATCATAGAATGGTTTGGGTTGGAAGGGACCTTGAAGATCATCTAGTTCAAACCCCCCTGCCATGGGCAGGGACATCCTCCACTAGACCAGGTTGCTCAAAGCCCCGTCCAACCTGGCCTCGAATGCTTCCAGGGATGGGGCATCCATAACTTCTCTGGGCAACCTGTGCCAGTGCCTCACCACCCTCATAGTGAAGAAATAAGTAATAATCTCACGCACTGGGGAAGGGCTTTTGACTCCCAGCGGGGTGAGGGAAAGAAATTATGAGGAAGAGAACATACTTACGGCAGTGAGATGGTGCAGGTTTGGGCTGCAACTGCTGGTGCTGTGCCAGTAAATTTAGTATTTGCAGGGGTGCGTGGGTGGCCGTGGAAGGGACGCCCTGCCTGTGATGCCGATGTGGCCCTGTTTTCCTCCACACTCGTTTCCATTTTTAAGTATTCAAAAGTAATGGCTTTGTTTGGAGCAGTCATGTTGGGTTTTTTGAGGGGGAGAAGGGGGAACACAGGAGGAGGAGGTGGTGATATTTGTTTTCCTTGCCCCACCAGAGCTATGCAGGAGGGAGATGGAGGCTCAGCCCAGCCTGCTGGGGTGGGTAATGGCCATGATGCCGTCCTCCTGTCTGATCATCGTGTAACCCTTTCCTGCCCTCTCTCCTCAGCTTTAGAGATGGAAATTCAGGAAAGCAACAAGGCTTTGATGTCCAAGTCAGCCAGGCTGCTGGGCCTGGAGGAGCAGGTGGGAAGGATCCGGGACGCCATCAACGAGCGAGTTGCCTACTATGAGAGCTGCTCCTGAGCGAGCTGCCCGTGCTCCGACGGCATTGCCTTCCTCCTCTGCAGACACTGACTTGTGTATTTATTCCCATTTTCCAGCTGGAGTTCTCATGTGCCTAATGTCTCTATTTTTAGCAAATTGAGTTTTCGTACTGCTGGAAAATAGCTGCACTGAGCCAAAGGAGCAACCCCCTGGCGAGGGCTAACCTTTGTTGGACTGGCTGAAGCTGCTCGGTGGTTGGAGGAGAAAGGGGGAGAGACATCAATCTTCCATTGCAAATAAAAACATCCCTAAAGCTGTTATTTCCAGAGGGGTTTATAAACCAAGACATTATTTCTTTTTCTTGTTTTAGCCAATTCAAGCTCTTTTAGCTGAATCTTACTGTTCAAATTAAAACCCTCATGTGAGGCCTTTTAAAACTTTTTTATCTATGCTGCAGTTAATCCTTAAAACTTGCCATGGCTTCAGTACTTCCCTCCTAGAGCTTTCTTCAAAGAACCAGATCACAGAAATAGAGAATTTTTATCTCCATTGTATCTATACAACATACCTATGTTTATACAAATAAGAGAAATGCGATCTCATACTCAAAGGTGAAGTCAAATGTCTTGTTTGACTTTCTGACACAATCTGCTTATTTACCATGTAACGCTTTGCCAGAAAAATACCAGAGGGAGCAGGTCTGCAGCTGCACAGGGAATGCTTTAGAAGGGACTTAATAGACCGTTTCCGCATCAAATTTCTATGAATAACCAACAGGCACTTTACAAAACAAAACTCAGCTTTATTAAGCAAGTATTTATTGTGCAATTGCAGACTTGGAAGCAGGGAATTTAGACCTTGCTGTGATTATTATCAGACATACGGAGGTTGCTAGCAGGTTATCTTTCCTTTTGTAGCTGAAGTGAGAACTGCACAGCCTGGGCAGCTGGTTGATGCTGAACTTCAGAGTGCCGAACCCTGGGACTAACCAAAATCCAAGGACAGGATGCAGACTGTAAAAATAACTGAGCTGCCACTGAGTAAAACTCTGCATAGCTTTGGTTTATAGCATTTATGTTGTGCAGTGCACTTATTATTCATTGGACAACTAAACAATATACAGAAAACAAAAGCTTATAGCATTGAGCGATGTCGTATAGATAATATACACTGAATATGCCTGCAGTAGCCTCAGACTTTCCCTTGCTAAAGTGTCTTCTCTCAGTTTTAATGATCCAGAAACACGCTGAGGTCACTGCATTGATGGATTCCTGGGACTAACATGCCGCTCGTCACCAGTCGGTCGCTGCTCTCTGGGACACTGCTGCCCGCCTGCTCCTGGCAGGACACAGCCTCCTTTCTTGCTTGCACTGTTGATGTCTGGCTTTGAAGCGCAGAAAAGAGTAAAACAGCCCTTCTGTTTCTGCAAGAGAGAGAATTTCAAATGAGGGTTGAACTTGGTTTCACTAGACTGCTACCTTCAAAGTGTGCTCTGTTAATAAGCAGTAGCATGGGGGCTAGGAACAGCTTAGATCCCTTTGTGTGCCTTATTTATAAAGGGTTATTACATATCTGATCATTGGAATGGACCTTTTTGAAGCCTATAGTAGATCCTACTTGCATTTGTCTCTTCTATTAATCCTTTGTATTTTACAGTTCTGTTCATATAATGTCATCAGTAGAGAGGGTCGTAAAAGATGATAGGATGTAGCTCACTTTATGTAGCTTTTGTGGAGAACTATGCTAGCGTATGCTCGCCTTTGAGGAACATTCTTTATTGCAGGATCTAATAGCAATACTTCTTACTGCTTATATATAATGTGATGGAAATGATAACAATTTAGCTAGTCCAGAATTAATCCAAGCTATGGTCAAACGGGGTGAAACTTTCATGATTGTACTCTGCTCACCCACAAAACGAACATCTCCATGCTCTGCTCTCTGGTAACAAAGCAACTTAAACTGACCTGCCTGGGCTGAATCTGGGAAAGGGAATGGCCCTTCAGGCTGCAGGGATGTCCTGCCTATGCTCAGTCATGCACCAGCAGCCTGTTGTCAGCCCTGTGCTCATGGTCACAGCTGAGACCCAGCTAAAAAGCCCTAATCCCAGCTGATGAAGCTGTCTGGTTCCAGTGTGATTCCCAGTGAGCAGCTTTGAATAGTTGTAGAGTTTGATATGACAGGTCCATGCTTGGCTTCTTTTCACATGCTTCTTGGGCAATCCTGTTGTAACTGTAAAAGTTGGATTCAGAGTCACTGGACTGGCCTTAATGGAAGCTGAAAGATGATTTCTTCCTTGAAAGATGGTTTAGTTAAGGCTTTTTCTGTTGCAAAAAACCTGTGAGCCAATTTATTTCATGTACAATCACTTTGCTATTTGTGCCTTTCCCTGTTTTATGCCATAATGGGATTAATTAAAAGTAGCTAGTGATTGGATTGTGGAGCACTTACCGCTGGTGATGTGGGGAGCCCGGTGGCTGCCTCCTCATCACATGATCAAACAAACTCCAGTTTGCCCAGTGCCACAGTGAGAAGAGTGTTTACTGGTTTTCATTGGAACAAGAACTTCTGATTTGAAATGACTGGTTGGAAATTGAAGAATCAGAAGAGAAAGAAGAAAAAGGAAATAGCAATATTTAGGATCATTCTGCACGTGAATTGAACACAACTTGAAGTTGTGTATTTAATATAAAGAACATCAGCTGCTGAAAGCAAAGCAGAGCTGGGTGCGAGTTAAGGCTGCAGCAAAGGCAGGGTCCAGTCACTCAGCACCAGCTGAGTAATTGGCATCAGCAGTTTCAACCACAGGCAAGTGCAGTTTCTGGAAAGCAAATGTGCTCAAGTCAATGGTGTGTGTCAGCTGAGCACTGCTGCCTCAGCTCACTGCAAGCTTTGCCATGCGGCCTGGGCAATGTGCCTCACCTGATGCTCCTACAAGCATGGAAGACACTTGGCTGGGTACTGCTATCCAGCCAGTCAAAACATTTGCTTCTGTCCTTATTCCTCCCTTCTTTCTACCTCCACCTGGGGCTGGCAACTTAAATGCCAGGCAACTCCTTCCAGAGATGGTTATTCCCGTACACTTTGTTGGAAATGATGGCTAATGTTTTGGATACCTACTGGGATTTTGCAGGTTTTTTAAGAAGCACTGTCTGGGTGCAGAGGGACGTCTTCGTTTTCTCGTGCCCCACGCAGGCTGGACTGCAGCCGCAAGAAGTTCTGGTTGGTGGGCTATGGTTATCTGGCAGGACCAGGCTACTGCCTGCGGGTGGCGGTCCATTCTCTGAGTGGCTTTGTGGCTTTCCCTCTCTCATTCCTGTGTCTTGCTCCAGCTGAGTGGGAGGGTTTGGACAGCCCTGCGTGGGGACCAGAGGGAGTGATGTGTCCTCATCTTTGTTTGGTGTTGTTGGCCGGGTGGCCGCCATGGGTGTGTTGGGTCTGGATGCCTCTGTGACTCGTATGATAGGGAGGGTGCTTTCAGCTGCTGCATGACCGTTCATGTGGAGCTTCTTCATGTGGTGCACAACGGTTGCGGCATTGAAGGCTTGCTGTGGAAGAAGACAAAAACCCCACGGTGAGCACCTAGTGATGCCAGGCTGGGTGGGTGCTGCGGGACGAATGGGCTGTCCCCCTTAGGTAATGACTGCGTGCTCAGGGCGGGCAGCGCTGTACTGGTTAGCACTGACTGTCTGTTTGCACCACATGTGGGAAGTGGGACGTGCTCGTTCCTGGCATAAACACCACAGTTTCCGTTGAGTGCAAACTGCGGATGCTTTTGAAGGTTACAACCACTTCTACATGAAGAAATCAGGGGGAACAGCTGTAAATTACCCCGCAGTGTGAAATGGAGACTAGAGCTGAATTTTTAATGTAAGTATTTAAAATGCTATCATACACGTGGTTCCTCTGGCATTCCTCTCTCCACCTCGATTCTTACTAAAACTCTTGATATAAATGAAGTACCAATTTATCTTCAAGGCTGAAAGGAGGAAAAGCCGGATTAAGCTCCCAGAAAGATCTGCTGATGGAGCACCGATTTCACTCCCTCGGTATAAAGGCAATAATCCTTTCCCCCTCCCCTTTACTTTCTTGGCGAGGCCACTGTAGTGCAATGTTTGTGGTAAATCTACCAGTATGCATTGCAGCAGGGAATATTGGTCCAAATATACTATAAACAGTAACTGCATACAATTTTCAGGCAGTCTTTGGAGGATCTCAGCTTTTGGGTTCTTACCCACACAGCTGAAGCCTTGCTTATTGCTAGATGGCAGGAACTGGCATTTGTTAGTGAAACGGCTCTAGGCTCCCACCAGCAGACGACTTACCCTCCATTTGCTCTTTGCAAAGTTTTTCTGAATCTGAGCACTGACAGATGGGTATATGTCACGGTGAAGGGCTGTATTTCCATTAATCCTGCAGATGGGGAGAGAAGAAAATGGGCTCGTAGGCAGATGGCATTTGTAAGGCATTCCACGTTCTGGAGGCAACTAAATGCTTTGTACGTTCAATCAGCAATAATTAAACCCAAAGGAAAAACAGCAACAAAATGTAACACAAACACACACTTCAAAGCTTGGAAAAGCTCAGGATGGGATTTCTTCTTTGCCTCTGTTTATGGAGGCAAATATGCACAAATTGTCTCCTTAATTATTCATAATTTTCTTTCTTCACACACAAAAACCAAACACCCAGGGCCACGTGGAGGCAGACAGTGACGTTAATAACGGGGGCTGGGGAGACACCCCTGTTCTCAGCTACCACCGAGCATGTGGAGCGAGACGCGGAGGCTGGTAAATCCCTGTGGCCACCAGCTACTGCCGGCGCCCCGGTCCTCTCACCATGGGTGCCGCAGGGCTTCTTCACAGGTAAACCTCGTGTTCGGGTTTTTCTCCAGTAAATGTCTGATGAAATCCTTGGCTGTTTGGGAGGGGAGGAGAAGCAGAGAAAAAAGGTTATTTTCTCCTTGTTCCAAGATATGATCCTAATAGGATATGGCAAATGCTAGTGGATAATCATCGCAAAGCTCAGCCCCGAGAAGGAGGTGTTCATGCAGCTTTGTTACTCCGTTAAAGGGAGATGCTTGTAGTGAAGAGCTCTAGATGAAAAAATGTTAACTGGGGACGTACCAAACTTCAGGCTTAGATTATGTGAATTTGATTTGAATTATTCAGCTAAAAAATAACTCTAAAAAACATAAAGTGCAAACTGAGCAGATTTAGAAGTCGCCCTAAAGAGCAGTTACATCCCTCCCTTTTTTTTTTTTCTTTTTTTTTACAGGGAGGATTGTGGTGCTTGTTATTGAGTCCTAACAAACCTCATGCTAGTTCTGTTTGTATGTATAAAAGATTGATGTTCAAAACATGC